GAGAAAGTCTCGAGCGGGGGTTTCGTCAGTGAGTAAATCGCGAGGAAGTATCGAGCGGGGACATCTCTCTCCATGGGGTCCCCGCTTCCATGTTCGAGTCCGAGCGGGTCATCCGAAATCTATAACAGTCGTCATTTTTGGGTTTCCCAGGCCTGCGCCAGGGATGAGGGCGCTGGCAGCACGGGAGTGTCGGATGAACAGTGGTGATTGCACCTCTACGTCATGTTCGCCCGCGTCACGTGCATGCGGAACATGCTGGTCCTGCGGCCGCCCTCGCGAGAGTTTCTGGAACGCGGGCCGCCGGCGTCCCTGCGGAGAAAGCATTCGGGGAGTTCGACACGAGGGTTGGGAACTGCAGGGATGAGCGGAACAGCTCGCGGCAGAGCTAGGCTTCGCGCTGCCTGGGCGCGGCGGCGCCCAGTTCGAGGCCCGCGGGGTTATCCCGACGGCTTGCTCCCGCGCCCCAGCGGCCCGCGGGGTTTTCCCAGCGGCTTGGCCATCAGAAAACGCGCGTGTGCCCGCCGCGACGGCGAGTCGGCGTGGGAACCGAGAAGATCCGATGTGCTCGCCCCGGACAAAAGCAAGGAGAGGTGCATGAGGAGAACGGGCGGGATGGAGTGGGAGAAGGAGGATGAGGGGGAGGAAAAGGATGAAAAGGGCAAGGAGTAAAAGGAGGAGGACGAAAGGGGGCAGGCAGCAGGGGGTAGGAGCAGGGATCGGGTGGATATCCCTGGCCAAACTCAGAACCCTATCGTGTCGGTTTTGCCGGCGGGGTAATTTGGCGAGCGAACGGTAAGTTTGCGAGCGAACGGTAAGTTTGGGCGGATGTCGACATGCGCGCGCGAGTGCGCGCGTGTGGCTTGCATCGTATTTCACACCATGTTCTTCGCTGCAAATGAAACGTGCCCGCCGCATAATATTCCGTGCGTGCGAATTGAACATGCCCCGACCAGATGCGGCGGATCACCATATCGTATTCGTTCACAGGTAGGGTGAGTATGGGGTTTGTAAAACATCCGACATTCGTAAAATGTTCGGTCATATCAGGTGCGATCCAGCACGCAGAGGGGAACATTTCTCGTATAATACTTGGGTGAGGGTATCGTATAGTTTATATCCCGCGGTGCGTGACCACACGTACCCGCACACCCTATTATACTCATTCGTTTCATCGCGGCGCGATCGTAGAATTTTCCCCGCCGCATCCTCAAACTTTTCCTCCATGTCAGAGGCAGTGAAAGAACTGAGCGATGGGAACTGGTTGAAGATCCCAATTTGTGTGCCCAGTCAATTCAGGTGCATAGCAAGATCATGAACCAATGTGTGCATCTCGATCGAATTGGCGGATTCTTGTGCGTAGTTCGATGACTGCGTTATTGGCGCGTAAAGAATTTACCGCATGATTTGTTGCGCAAGAGAGCGGTTTTGAACAGTTATAACACGTTTTACCTTTGACTGATGTCATGCAAAAGAGCATGTGATATTTTTTATGCTTGAATTCGTCGAACTCGTTTTTAACATGTTTTTGCCCTCGCGCGCGCGGGCGCGCATGTGGTCCGCAGGGTATTGTTAGACATAATTTGCAACTCGGATCTAATCATATCCGGGGCGTCATATTATGTACAAGGGATGTTGCCCAAATTGTATGCCGCTCGTGCACCGAAAGATATGCTTGCACAAATGGACGTGACATTTATAACGCATATGCAGGCGCCCAAGAAGATGCCAGTGCCAGATCAGGCCCATTCCAGGCCACGATGTTAGCGTACATCTCATAAAGCATTTCGGGCTGCAATTGGCCCAATATGTTTATCGAAAGGGGATTTTCAACATAGACAACATACATAATGTCCACAGCGCAGCACAGCATTTTACAGTGGATCGTGATGGGGCCAAATCTGATTGCGCACCGCAATGTATTATCTCACCAGTACGATGGACGTGGATATGAACACTCAGGAACACGTCTGGGATAGGGCCCTGTCCAGCTTGCGCTCATTTTGAGTGAGCGGCGTTACGCAACGTGCTTTTCGCGGCCGGGGCCGCCAACTCGAGAGGACACTTGCCGCCGTGGTTCGGGGTCAAACGCGCGCCCGAAGCAGGCTCAACCAGTCACATCTTGAGGACGTGTCAGGCGAACCCATGCCCAAGAACCAGGCAAATGGTGATGACGTCTCAAGTGAGACCGCTCCGAAGCTGGGCCAAACCAATCAACTTGTAAGGTCGACTGAGGAGAAACCCATCCTAAGCCAGGCCAGCAGGGCCCAAACCAGGCAAGGCAAACAAGCCTGCCAAACCAAACCAAGCAAGGCCAAACAAGGAGCCAAAGCGAGCGAAGCGCTGTAAACCTGGCAGGGGGTTCTATGATTCGAATTCTGGGGGTGGGGGTAGGGCACAACAGCATGCATGTGATGGGGGCGCAGCAACATGCATTTTTCGTTTGATTGCAGTTCGGGCTTCGGTGTTGCGTCCAGAAAAATATGCCCCAGCCTGTATGGTA